GATACCAGGTAGCAATTAGAAGAGACTTACTATATGTTGCCTAGTAATCTCCACACATGTCATTTCTAAATTATCAGGGACTAAATCTTTTCTCTCAGTGTATGGTATATTATTTTTTATATATAGAGCCACACCACCGCCAAATCTGTTACGATCAAAACGAACAATTGTATAATTATCAATATATAATATGTATATATATATAAATATATGTTTAAAGATTTGTAATCCAGGCATATTATAATTAAATTAAAGTTCTCCGGATTGAAGAAGGCTCGAAGTACCGAGTCGAAAGCTCAATAAAAGTATATTTCAATCCGGAGAACTTTAATTAATTATATATATATATATATATATATATATATATATATATATATATATATATATATATATATATATATATATATATATATATATATATATATTTATATATATATATATATATACCGGGTGTCCCAAAAAAAAGTACTCCGGTTTGATTCGTAATAACTTCTAAACAAGTAAAGCTTTTAAAGAGAAATAACTTGCATCAAATAGAGGAAGGACTAACTTAGATTTTGATATATTACAGTTGTATTTCACTTAAAAATTCACGGAGATATTAATGTTTAAAATCGGGAGCATATTTCTTGATGTGTCTGAAATATGCCAAAAACAGCGTATCAAATATTAATCAAGATTTACCCGACTGAAACATGCACTATTACCTGTAAATAAATGACACTTGACAAATTGTTTATTATGAAACAAAGTATTATTATCTACAAAATACAAGCAAGATTTATTCGTCCGAAATCCGCGTGTGTTCCTAGCACGAATACGTTTCCTTATTTCATGAGACTACTGCATCGCGAAGGATCGTCATGGATCGTTCGTAGTTCTGAATTAGGGCACGCTGTCACATTGGAATTGTGAATTTTCTAACTTCACATTGAATGAATTTTCTAACTTCTGCAACGTTCTGAAATCTTGTTAAGAACACCCAAACTCTTTTGCCTTTCTTAATCTTAGCAAGTTCAGAATAAACTGAGAATGAAACACAATCAAACCATACAACTCCATAAGTAAAGACATAACAAGCAACTCCCCAGAGACATCCAACATTTTTGGAACAAAACGTAACAAAATAGTAGCTTTGATACTGTGATGTGTATTTGCAAAAAGCAATATTATTTCCTCCATTAAAGAACAATATTAATCCTGCTCTAACCGAGAAATAATCAACTTTGTTTTGAACCCATGAAAAACATAAAAAATAGGTTATTTAAGAAAAATTGAAGCGCCTGCCTTGCATGGTCTTTCAGTACCTTAAGTTTGCAAAGACCTATTAAATACTTACATAATTTCGAACGTTCATATTTCAGGAAACAATAAGTTAAGACTTACATGTAAGATGTCTAAATCTACGCCATATCCCTTACAAACCCTAACTACAATTCGCTGAAATACAATTTACCCTGATATGTCATTAAGCAAACAAACGCTGGAGTGAAAATTTGATACGCCGATTTTCGCTAATTTTAGACACATCCCAAAATATGCTCCCGATTTTGAACATTAATATCTCCGTGAATTTTTAAGTAAAATACAACTGTAACATATCAAAATCTAAGTTAGTCCTTCCTCTATTTAATGCAAGTTATTTCTGTTTGATAGCTTTACTTGTTTAGAAGTTATTATAAATCAAACCGGAGTACTTTTTTTTGGGACACCCGGTATATATATATATATATATATATATATATATATATATATATATATATATATATATATATATATATATATATATATATATATATATATATATATCACGAAAAGGATATAAACACACAATAGGAGAAACCAAAAAATCCAAAATAAATCGTTGAATTATATATACTACAGTATGCTAAACGTGCTGTTCAAGTTGAAAATGTTTTGTTTTGTTTTGTTTTGTTTTGTTTTGTTTTGTTTTGTTTTGGATTTTGGGTTTTCTGTTTTGTCAATGCATTTCACGACTTCTTTGATCATTTTAATCGGAACCAACCCAACCAATCGGCCTTACATTATATAAAGAGGCGTGAGATATATTAGAAAGGACTTGTAGTACCTGTTCCAAAAGTCTATCTTCGATGTCATTTCAGCTTTTAACTCAACAATCAACGCCTGAAGAAAAGTAACAAACGTGATAATAGTACTGTAGGTACCGATCGAGTAGGAATTTGAAGGATTAGTATGCAAGAGGGACGCAAGGGAACCGCATCATTAGTATGAAATGAGGTGGTGCACTTATTAATATGCATGACGTCATAATAGGTGGTGTAACAAAATAATATAGTTGCCAAGCGTTTGTTAAGCACAATTTAACATAGATCTTAATAGGAATAAAAAACGAAGCTTCGAAATGTTAAAAATTTAAGCATTAAACCATATCCAGGCTGTGGAAGCAGCGAAAATCCAGACTTATTTATATACGACAAAATCTAAAAGAAAACTTATATTTGGTTGTCAAAGTAATTGTTAGGTTCCACATTTTCATATTAGAAAGTAATCAAAACCGGTCAATAATCCACCTAAACAATTAAATCCTCAAGCAGGCCTGTGTGAGAATGAGACAGACAAATACAAGCGAATAGATTCTAATTGCATTTAGGGATAGTATAAGTTGTAGGTTACTCTAGTTTAGCGAGATTTAATGAAATTGTATTTTACTTTTATAGTCCATGACTATAGTTCATGACCATGATGACTATAGTCCATGACCATATTGACCATGATGACTATAGTTCATGACCATGATAACTATGATGACTATTGTCCATGACCATGATGACTATAGCTCATGACTATGTTTATAGTTCATGACCATGATGACTATAGTTCATGGCAATGACACCATAGTCCATGACCATAATGACTATGATGACTATAGCTCATGACCATGATAACTGCAGTTCATGACCATGATGACCACCGTTCATGACCACGATGGTCTAAGTCAATGACCATGATAACTATGATAATTGTAGCTCATGACCATGACTATAGTTCATGACCATAATGATTATAGTTCATGACCATGATGACTATAATCAATGACTATGATGGCCTAAGTCAATAACTATGAAGACTACAGTCATGACTGTGAAAACTATAGCCCAAGACTTTACGAATACTGTAGTAATTTATATTACGATTATAGTGTGACAAAAATGACTTTGGTCCATAACTATGATGACCATAATCCATTACTAAGATGACTATAACCAATGATTGTGAAGAAGATAGTTCATGACAATGACTATGACTATAAAACTATTAGCCCCATCACTAAGATGATTAATCCTACCACTACCACCATCCTCATCTATAACACTAACCTGCCTAAGATTGAACAGCAGCCCTAACACTATCACCAACCAATATAGATTCCTTGAAAACGTTATGAGACAACAAACTTGATAAAGAACTAATAGTTATGTACGAATAAAAGCCATGGTTCTTAATATTAAATCCCCGTGTAAATGAACCAAGGTATATGGAAAAGGGTCTATATACAGGGTGTATAAAAAATGCATAGTTCGAAAATGTTCGCTAAACTGCAAAATCCGCAAAATTTGTGAAAATGTTATGCAAGCTTGGATAGTTTGGGCTCTGCTAGTATCCTTACCACTAACATTATTTTGAAAAGTAAATTTTCATTTTTAAACTGAAATTTTTAAAAATTTTAAAAATCCATTTTTGTGCACAAGACATTTTAAAGTGGTTTTAAAATTTACCTTTCAAATAATTTTAGTGGTGAAGATACTGGCAGATCCCAAACTACTCATCACTCATGCTTGCATAACATTTTCACAAATTTTGTGGAATTTGTAGTTTAACGAAAATTTTCGAACTGTGCGATTTTTATAGTAGCATTTCTGGCAGCTGCTCCTGTTTAGGCCTGAAAATGTATACAATAATTACTCGAAATATCCATCCAGAAAAAGCCATCAACATTTAGCTTTATCGAGTGAGATGTCCAATAACTAATATTAGCAGAACGTGAGATTCATTGCATTTTCAAATTAATATATTTATCCTGGTTTTAAATCAACAGTTTCCCACATATGCATTAAAATATTCTGATAGTGTATATTTTTCCATGCAGTTGTTCAGCAGAGACCACAAATTAGTCTACTGAAAGTCATCTACAAACCCTACTTACAGTAGTGTCAACAAATTACCTTAGAGTTTCGTGTCCTTTACACGACGACCTTTTGACGGCGTCTCTGCACCTGTAATGGTGCCTCTGGATGAACTAAATATTAAGGTGTTGTAGAGTTCATAACACTTTCTTTGAAACAGAAACGCTGCACAGATAAACAAACCTTGGAAACTGACGAAAATAATAAACAGATACGCAAAAGCGTCAGTTTCCATTTCCACGGCAACCTGCAGCAGTCCAAATAACCATGAGAATCCCATCAAAGTTGATAATTTGAGGCAAACTTTGACGTTCTGCGTTTGACGTTTCTTTGCTTCCTTTCCAAGAGCTTTAGCGCTGGATTTTTGATTCTCACGAAGACGTAAAGCTACGATGATGAACAGAATAAGGTTGAATAATAGCAATATGCCGAATGGAAGTATAAATAGAAAAATCGTTGATTCCTTTGTGCCAAGCCAACATACGACTGATTTACCATAGTCTACAATGAACACTCCGTAGTGATCTAGTAAACCGAAAATGAGGAGAAAAAGACCTGGCATTCCCCAGGCAACTAGAAAGTAGATAACACATATCTTGTTGTCTTCAGATGGAGTGCGACGAATAGTCATCTTGCGTCCAAATACCAAACATGAATGAAATGCAATTACTGAACTTGCCGTGAAGAAAACCAGAAAGAAATAATGATTTGCTATTGCAACAACAGTGCATGCTGTGGGATAATTATCAAGTGTAGAGCCAACGAGCCAGAATATTTCAGCTAAACATAAGGAGATGGACAAATTCATAAGATTCTTTCCTGGCAAAGTTCTTAGTTCTTTAAAGATGATATAAGTGAAGAAAAGAATCAGTAAGCCAAGTATAGACACGATAAACCCAATCCAAGTCAATATTACCAATTCTAAATCATCTTTAGGTGTATTGTTGCTTGTGTTGGTTGTATATTCTCTCTCAAAGTTCACACATATATACACCATACCGTTGTCGTAAATATAATCACCAAACTTATACAGAAGTGAATTGTACACTAGTGTTAAATTGTTGGTAAAGTGAAATTCCGAGGAATTCAGTTTAATATAGGTTCCATTACATTGACGTGATACAATTTTCAAGCACACTGTTAATACTGGTGCATTTTTCACGGTACTGTTCATGTAGTATTCAAGCTGCTCGTAGACAGCGCCAGTAGATAAAATACGAATCTTTAAATCATCCAGAAAAACATATTCTGCATACTGGTAGACATGTGGACGGGTACAATTAATTTGCCGAATTTTCTGACGGTAAATTGTGAACGTATGAGAACCAACATGAAGTTGAAAAGCTTCGCTAAATCTAAATAGACGACGTAATGTAGTTGTTTCATTTGAACTTCCATTTAAGTTTACATCCGATGCTAAAATCAGGCTTTGTGCCTGTGTCAACTGTATTTTGAATATGAAAAGAATCGCTTGGCCTTCGGCTGAATTGATCTTAGTAATTTGTATAACATTAATTTGTGATTTGTTCACTAGGAAGTAATCAGAAAGTGACTTTTCCAATTGAAAATGGAAAATATAAACAGCTCCATTAGTCTTTGATAAGACTGACATAGTCACTTGGTATTCATCCGCAGAGCCCGAGTTTAGTTTATTGATGATGTAGGTCTGACGACATTTCCCTAAGAAAGTATCGTAAACTTCACTTTTCCTGCATGATTTGGTTGTTTTGGATACACCATAATCACGCAAGCTTATAGCACGGCTTATTGCAGAGCCACCTATACTACAAGGATCGACTGTTTTTTCGGACACCCCACATATCATGCTATATCCATTACACATAGCACAAGCTTTATTTTTGAATACCGTGTTCGAATGTATTTCCTTTACCAAACCCACAGTTCCTTGCACACAATCTTTCATGCCTTGTTCAGATGTTGTATTAAGACAAGTATTTAATACATCTGGGTAAGTACACCAACGGATACGCTGTCCTTCTTTTGGTCGAATGCCGTCTAAAAGCTGATAATTCCTCGCAATAAACTCCACAAAATTATCTGGGGTATAATACGGAGGGGGTATTGCTTCTACTTTAAATATCAAAGTCCAAAATTCGTATGTTGACACATTATTGCAAAGTGCGCAATATTGGTTTCTATACGTAAGTAAATCAGGGAGACCAACAACAGGTAAATATAGGAGGAGGGAATGAGCATCTAGTGCCAAGGAAGGATTGTGACATTTTGTTTTGACCTCATCATTTGGCCAAGAATTTGGACATCTTGCTACTATCCACGATCCTTTTGATCTCGAGCACTTCCCTGTATTTACTTTCATGATTACGCAACGCCAATTACTCTTCTGTTTGTAGAAATCATCAATATCCATTAATTTCGAATTCATTGAACACGACTGTTCGTAATCACTGCAGCAGTCCTCAAATACATCATTACATGCCTTATCGCAATAACAATCAGAGACAGCCGGTTCCTTGAAGCTTGAGAATACGGTATGTGTAGTCTTTTCCGTGCATTTATTTGAACAGGAATACACTTTGCTACCACAGTTGATTGGTGATGCAGGGTTTCGTCTCAGTATTATGCGAGGAATTAAGGTTGGTGGTAAGATGGCCGATTTGGCTGTGGTTGTTTGTATCGGAGGTGCTGTGAAAATCCTTAGCACAGGCGATGAAAGTTTCAGAGTTATATTCTGATGTATAACGCTACCACTACCTGTGTTATTCTCTGAAGTGCTACTATTTGTTACTGATCGTACACTGCGAGGTTTCAGTTGGTATAACTGCTTATTAATCACGGTACTTGCCTCTTTATGGTCAGTTGCTTCTTCTCGACGTAAATTATTTTCCAATAACAAAAAAATATCTCCGTCATCACTTCGAGAAGTTTGGCTGATAAAACATAATGATAGAAACACAACTGCTAGAAGCGCACAACAACCGAGTTTTGGCATGTTATGGAATTTTATTCAGTTGTGACTTCTTTACCGTAATCACTGGGTAATCGTGCGATGCTGGGAGGTCTACCACAATTAAGCCCGCACTCGGCAGAAGTATATTTATACAGATTTATTTATGTTTGAACAGTTCTTTTCAAATTATGTTTGTCCAGACAGCTCAGTCTTTGTGTGAAGTTTGCCGTCTTATGAAATCTAATTTCGTTCTGATATGATGCATGGCGACAATAGTTATGAAACTGACATTTTCGTCATTCCGTGGGCAGAGCGGATCAGATTAAAATCAACAATCCTACAATCTCACCTTGTTTCTGCATCATGACCTGGTTAGAGCGCTGCACCGAAATCTGCAGGTTCGACTCCTGCCAGAGGGCCTATAGTTGCATTTATCGCAACTGCTCTTGGCTAGGTCGAAAATGTATATAAATTTGCGTTAGAATATTCATCTACATAAACCCATCTACATGACAATATGTATTATAAAGATCATATCCACTGTTGTTCTGCCGGCTCGGAAACCACAATAGCTTTCAGGTAGTATTTCCTCGGTCTTAGTCCTGTTGAGAAAAATCTTTGCCAAAATCATCATGCCTCAGTGGTTTCCAATAACTGCTGTCGTCTTTCTTTATGTAAGTGGTCACGATCAACCTATCTTGTGAGAGACATTGCTTTTCCTAGCATATGTTGTATAGCTGGTACCCTTGAGAGCTTTCTGGACTTCTTCTAAGGGCCAGTAAGGGGTTCATACAATACCTCCTTCACTGGTCTTTCTAGTAATTTGTAGTGAGGCACTGAAGTCAGCGAGCTGTTCCTTGTTCTCAATTGTAACTTTATCTCTTTTAGGTTAGTATCTACTGTAGCTTACTTCCATCCACTGACGTCACTGGAGTGAGAGGATTCCTGAAAAAAGGCCATGAATGCCATTTCTATCAGTCCTCTCTGGTAGATTGTCTGCATTTCCGCACCACCAGCTGTTTTTCATTGACCTGATCTTCCTCTGGGTCACGGCTTAGCTTCCTTAAGAGCTGGGAGGGTCTTCTCGGAGTTCTCTCTGAGGTAGCCGTTAATTATAGAGCTGTTGTTTTCTCTGCATTAACTCTTAAATCTCCTCATTATGGCGCTGAAACCAGTCTGCCGATTTCTTCTAATTGGGGTTACTGAGGGCCTCTTCTGCGGAATTGGGTACAGTCACTCTCAGAGTGTCTGTGGCCAACTTCTGTGGTATTCTTCAGTAGCTAGTTTACCGGTGTTAAGCTTCCTACGGGGCTACACTTACAGTTCTCCATCTCTTCAGCAGCAATTTCAGCCTCAACTGAGTTCGAACCATGTGGTGGTACATTGAGCACTCCGTTGCACACATCAATTTTGCAGAAAGCACTTCGACCAGTTTGCTCTTGCGGGAGATCACACAGCACGTAGCAGCGCTTGGATTTTTGGTGCATCCAGATGTGGTAGTTCTTATCCAGTAGGCGGAAGTGGATGTTGGTAATGCTCAGATATCGTTGGGCACAGATGTTCAGAAAAAGCTCATCATTGCTATTCTTCTTGCCTTTAACGAACTTTCCAACGACACCTTCATTGATTGTGTGGTCTTTACCAATTCTTGCACTGACGTCACCAAGAAGTAGTAGGTAGTTCCTGGTAAGAACTTCCTTTTCTTCCTCTGAGTATGACACGGAGACTGCAAATTAAAGGCAACTCCATCATCTCTTGTTTCGCTTTTCTTGCCGATCCTGAAATATATGTGCTTGTCTTCTTCAATCTGACCCTGGCCTTCCATCCTACTCTCCTGACAGGCAGCAATGTTAACGTTGTAGCGTATCAGCTCCTTGGCAACTACGTGCAGCAGAACGCTGGCCGCGGTATGTGTAATCTGAGCAAGTTTTCTTTACAGTACCCTACCTTTTAAGGGCCTCCCCTTCTGGGACAGGCAGCGCTGTCAATGCCTTCTTTGTTTCTAGTGGTTTCGTTATTTCCTAGAGGGCTGCCTTCATTATGGCACGAAGGGGACCATATATCTCCCCTTTACTGCTTGAGGGTGCTATCACATGCCCAAGGTGATCCCCCAGAATAGTCGAGGAAAGGAGACATCCTAATTCTCGATTCTAGACCGACTCTCAAGCCACTGTCTACAGTAATGTTTAAGGAAATTAATGAGTGAAATAACGCAATACGAACCTGAGTGAGGACACCAGATAAAATCTTCAAGCGGAGATTTACTAGATGATCCATGATTTTCTTCATTTCCAGGAACTTCGTCTGATCATTTTTCTATAGAGGAATAATGTGGTAAATTATCCCGCTCAAACCAGTCCAGTATGTTGGGCCTTCGCTCAAAAACGTCGAAGTTTTGCTTGTATTTTTCAGGTACAGTACTGTAGTTGTAATTCTCGCAATCCGCAGACGCAGTGAACGGGCCTTAACTATAATAATGTTGAACTAAATATTAAGTGTGCCTCGGGAAAGCAAATGCGAACACGTGCATTGTGTATGGAAAAGTAACATCCTGGTTGCTTAGTGGTTTAGGGCAAATATTTTTTGTTGTATTTCATTTGTTCCAGTAAAGGAACGTTGTTGCATGGGGTTGGATGTTAACAATGATATCACATTTACTGGATACCTTTATGCTTATATATATTGCCTAGAGGAAATTCATAGATTTTAAAATCTTGCCTTCGTTATATGGTATACAGAAAAATGAAGTCAACACTTATTGGCCTTGCTTACCAGAAAGAGTTTCTTCCACAACTCCAGCCATTCACGTAGTACGGCAGTCACTTCCTTAATTATTGCGTCTCCATTGGGAGTTATTATCTCTAGTGGCGTACTAAAATAATAATTAAGGTGCTTTATGTGACTATCGTTCATCAAAAATATCTGTAATACTGTACTACAGTAGTTGCTGGTCTGAGGCATTGCACGATGCTACATGTGTACATTGAGTGCGGTGCCATTGATATTTCCAAGAGTTCTCTGGAGAACGTTTGGAACGCAAACGCAGTGGTATTTCTGAGTATTACTGTAGTGTGGTACTGTGGTTTCATTTGTAAGAATCGATATTCCATTGCACTTTTCGCCGGTAATTGATTCACAGCTTGATTGGGTTACGTAAGTTTTCGCCTGATCTGAGACAGTGAACAGGCTATAGTTTCCACACTGAGCCTCCTTCAACAGTTATACTTATTGCAGTATTGGTAAGTCTTAAGAGTTTAGGAGCGCTTTACAATTTTGTAAGAAATTGGCTGAAAACATTAATTTACATGATCTCCAACTTTGTTCAAATTGAACATTAATTTACAAGATCTCCACATGAATAAATGATAAATCCTATCACCTTGCGCGCCTTGAATTCATAACAGCGGAAGATGAGAGCGGGAAGTATAAAATGCCTTACCCCAAATTTTCTACAATGCATTCCTTCAACTGTACGAACGAAGCTGGAAATATACCCTGTAAAATAATATTCCGTATACTCAGACAAGTGTAGATTTATCAACGTTTTTTATAAATTCTAATAATAACCTTGCGTGTCTTATTACATCAATTACGTATTGGGCATTTGCGCATACAGTATAAGAAGGGTATAAACGGAAAAGAGAAGACTATTGTCTAAAGCTAGCCTGGTTCCTTCGCCACGTACGGGTAAATAACTTGGCTGCTGTCATGAATGCATGTTGCCCGTTTGGGAAGAAATCGGTCAACGTGCAAACAACAAGAATACCACCCAAGAATAGTATCGCGGAAGTGAAAAGGTCAAGGAACTATAGTATAGGCTAGCCTTAGCTGCCCTTAGCTATTATGCCACACAAAATAACTACTTTAAATTTGCATTCACGAATATTTTTACTACCGCAACACTTTCTTGTAACTCAGCGAAATATCAGCCTGCAAATACTTTTGCAATCACTGAAAGGATGACGTCATTTACAATTTGAAAAGTGGCGCTGATCAGTTAGTATATACTATAGTCTATAACTAGTGTCTAGTGATAATTTACTGTATATGTAAACAGCAAAGATTTTAAACGTACCTTTAAAGCTTTATTTTTAAGACAACAACCTCTGTACCACCCTAGACATCAGCAAATAATTATTTTGAAGTGTTTATAATACTAGATGTTACTATCACATGGGGAAGTGCTGCCATATAGCCTATTATGACATAGCACTGTTTGAATGCAAGAAGGTTCAGGATTGTTTTATAATTGCATCAGTCAACAACATAGATCACCTATATGCTCAATTAACCTGTTAACTTCTTTTCGTGGTACTACTTTTGAAATGGCGAGGAACCTAACACTCACTCATTAGAGGCAAGTCCTTTTTGCCATTCACAAAAAGGATGTAATGGACAATTGTGTGGTCATTGGAGTGAGCGAATACATAACTCTTCTAGAGGTTGCTTTAGTAGACTGCCATATAGTTTAATTTTTTTTCAATTTTCATTGATTTGAAGGGCCTATGATGCCAAGGGCCCACAACAAATTCTCGTTGTCTTGTGTCTGGCCAGTATGCCCCTGGATCATCCTATAAATGGTAACTGAATAATTATGGAACAAAGCTATATAATAATGATTTACAACTATGATAGCATTGGTATACTATAAACAAATAAAAAAATTAAGGTTCAACTGGGATTTGGAGCACCAAATCTTGGGTAGCGATATGGTGCCAATCTAAAGTCACCCGCACCCCTCAATATTTTGCAAAGTGTCCATCATTGATGACAAAAACTAAAGAAACCTACATATATAGTAATACTGGCCCAATCAATAGACCTTTCTTATAATGATGTCAAACACAGAAAACCAATTTATGTGATGTCCCAAAGGACAATTTTTAGTGACAATTAATTGAATGAAGATTTGCAATGCAAGTCTTGGCAAGCCAATTAAATTCATAAAAAACTGTCTTTGAGAATTGCCACTAACAATTTACCCTTGGGACACCATATTGGGTGTTTTTCCATGTTTGATGTCATTATATAAAGAAAGGTCTATTGTGAGCACCATCCAAGAAATGAACTGTGGGGTTTTCTCTGGAAACATGGAAGCACATGCTTTCTCATGCAATTGGCATGGAAATTTCAGCACTGTTGTCCAAAGGTACAGGGTATATACTGTATTAGCCTGTTCTACAATATAAGACGTTTAATTTAATAAAACCGTCTAAAGTACAAAACTTGTATTTTTGGTATGTTTTATGGGGTCAAGGGATCTAGTGGGAAACATTTGTTAGGTTGAGATTCGTGGTAGTCATCTAAAATTCAAATCAATAGACTTTACTGTTTACTGCATTTTTTATTCCCTAATTACATTTAAGCTATGACCTTAACCCTTTTGTGCACAAAACATTAGGAAATAAACAAATGAAAACAAGGCCAAAAAAGAGTGCAATAAATATAGTACAGTCTATAGTATCAGCTGTCAGTGAAAGATATCAGCTCCAAAATTACTATAAAATTGCTGTTTCATCACTATTCCAGCTATTACTGTATTAGTATTAGTTAATTTATGCATTCAACACTCAGTGATAAACATACAGTATGTTTTGTCTAGCTTTCCACATTACCATGTAGATGTGCCAGCTAAATATTGCCGATGTATTAATCTGTGATGTTTTCCAGACAGGAAACTAAATGTGGCCTATCCTTATGTAATATTGTCAATAATGTAAACAATATAAATGGCTTATATTGAAAGAATTTTTGATCAGGTTTCACAAGGTATAGCCTAAAATTCTTTTAATCTGTGTTTCTCTTTGAATGATTGAAATAGGCAAAATAATAGTCTTTTATCTTCTTCATTTACACATTATGTCCATAATAAATACGCTTTTAACACGCTTCGCCAAATGAGCAATGAATTGTTCAGCACGCATGCATTCCAATTGACGATTAAATGTCTATTACGCCAAATATATAAACGTAAGGTATTTTGTTTATATATTCATCAAATACATACTTATTTCACGAACAAGATACAATAAAGATCAAATATTTTATCAAAATATTAGCATGACTAAGTTTCTGGAATTATCAATGCAAGTACACACTATAATGACAACAATGACATAGTACAAGTCAGTCGAAGTCACCAACAGAGGTGAAATAATCGTGTGCTAATTCCAGTCATAAGTTTAATTGCTACATACCAGCGCACCCTTCGAATATCTGAACTGCATCTCCTATATCGAGCTGGAGCCCATGGTTAACTTTTCCATCAAAATTATAGATCGCTGATAAAAAGGAAACAAAAACCCATGAAGCGAGTCGATTCAATTATATTAATGCATCCTCAAGGCGATAAAACGACTGTCAACATTCAAATTAAATATTGTTACCTATGCCGTATTTTGCCCCTTCAGTCGGTCTCCAAGTCTCCATATTTCCACAGACGTTTCAGTTAACTGGTACTTCCAGCATACGTCTTCAATTAACTGCTGAAATACAAACGTTTGCTTACACTGCCACCAAAATTCCGCTTTGTGTATATTTAATAGTCGGTCGTTCACATGTTGACGTTCACGCCATGTCGTTTTGTAACTCTCAATATCTCCCACTCCATATAAAGATCATTAAATATAGCAAACAAATTGTTGTGTTTCTTTGTAAATATCGCCTTTCATTTCAAATAACAAATAAAGAGCGTAAATTAAGGAAGTATTCGAGCAATAAAATTCCTTCGGACTACAATATTTATCATATTGCATATTTAAAATCGCCCCCGCCGGCAACTCAAAGGGCTTTTCCACCACCCCTGTCTGACCCTACTTGTTGGCTTTGATACGGTGATCTTTAATATGTCCACTGCACCAACTTTGAATTAAATCTATTACAACAGTGCTGAAGACGAGAACAAGTTCAACAAGAACAGAAGGCGGAAATTGTAGAATTAATAGTGAAATTTTTCGCATGTTTTGTATTAAAAAATAAAATAAAAAATAAAAGTAAATAAATACACACACGGAGTCTGGACTCGGCTGTGATGCTTAGAATGTACAAAATATTAAAAATCGTTTTATATTTGTTAAATAAAAAACATCATGAGAGTGCGATTTACTAGTAATATATAAAGGAAACTAAGTAAGTTGGATTTTATAATTTAAAGTAAATTTTTAATGCAAAATATAAATATAGTAAAATAAAAAGTCATCTACCCACACAGAGCCCGGGCCACTTGTGATAGCATTGGCTTTGCATGTAAAGATATAATGTATGTTTTATCCAGTTAGAGAACTTGAAAAAACGTCGCACTGCAAATAGGCAAACTCTCCCGATTTCTGCATTTTGTAACGCCGAAATTAACCTCGTCGCACCATTCTGTGGTCGTCACTGTGGAGTGTGTGGATAACTGGATAAAGTAAACATTAACAGGCCATTTCTCC